TGTAAATGTTTTTATTTTATATTTTATAATATAATAAAAACATTTACATAATTGTTTTTAAATATAATCTCGTATAGTATGTGTTATAATATGGTCGTGTCGTATACATAAATACCTTGAAAAATAAACTACTATATCAATTCTGCTTATCAAGAATAATTTATTAATACGTCATATGAAATGTTAATCACCAAGTTTTGATAATTGAAGAAAACCGAAAATATATTCTCGAGTGTTTGAGAGTCGAGTTGCAATTAAAAAACCAAATTGAATCATACGTCCAGATGACATCTAGTCAAATTGAAAGATCACACATTTTCGACGCGACATAAAAGGTCTGTTATTGTCTCATTGCGTCCACTGAAAATGTTTCTAGACACTTTCATCACTCAAACATCTCTAAGTAATCACTCTTAACTCACTTGGCGGTCGAAAGACGATTCCCGTTCGATCCTCACTCTCAGCTCGCTGACCTCAAATTCCACCTGGCGGACGAAGCCGTGCTGGGACGCGCATTGACACGCGGCGCCTAAGTTCCTTTTTTTTCTTTCCTTCGAATTTCACTTCTTCTGTTACACTCGGCTGCGCGCGGAGTTACCTCGTCTCCCACTCGTGATCTTAATTTCTACACTACAATATTTGATGACGTTCTGGCAACATTTTAAAGGGAGACGCGTCTTCTGAAAATGCTCTTTCCTGTTTTACCGGTTTCGAGATCGAAGTTTTACTGTCACATATTTCAATGATACCCGCGCTTTCGAGACTACGTGCGTCGAGGCGCGACTACGGGTACGCGTTCCCGGTGCAACAAGCCTACAAAGTGCCGACCACCTCTCTTTCACAATCTTGAGTTACACGCTAATCTCGTCGCGTTGTATTTTGTATTATTGCACGACGTGTCCAATTTTGCTTCTTCTCTGCTTTCTACCTGATTCGTCAACTTTAACATCTCGATAATCCGCGCGAACAAATGCGTTTTTTTCCTTTGTAAAAATTTCTTAATAAAACCGACATCTGATATGAGACCGAAATCGCGAGACCTCGAGTAATTGTCGCAGTGTTGTCGTTAGTCACGCAACTGAAGGCGCGCGCTCTCGGATGTGCGTCGAAGAAATTAGACTTGGCATCAGCTGCGTGAACGTTTTGAGAGATAAGACGCGCCCGGCAGACGCTCACTTCAGAGACAAAGCGTGCTCGAAAATAAATGTTTGGGCGACTGTGCGTTTAAGCGTGGCATTCCAGCCAATATAGAGACGGTCATCAAGTCGTTACTTGCAAACGTCGGATCTTGGCTCGGGTCTTCGCTCAGAGTTTATAATATTTTTCACGGAAGTCGTGTTTTACCGAGCGTTTGTGCAAAATTTGACGCTTTTCAAAAACTTACAACGAACGTGTGTTTGCATTCACGCTCTTTGTCGGCGTATTGTTCGGATGCTATCAATCGCAAAAAGATACGACGAGTTTTCTATTCATAACTTCATGGAAGAAAAAAATTAATAATTATAGATAAGTGTGTTTTTACTAAGCAGATTCACATGAAAAGTGTATATATAAGTTCCAATACGTAAAGCAAAAAGAAAAATAAAAAAAAAGATGAAAAAAGATATCGGTTAATGCATTCCGCTTAGTAACAATACAGTTTAGCATAGAAATACATATGTATCTCGTTTTTATCGATTGTCACCTTGACAGAATCTGATGTCTATTAACCTTATTTAATTTTGATAAGATCTTATTTGTAGGCGTCGAAAGTCTTATAGGTTCTATTTTAGCCGCGAGTTTTTTTTACGGAAGGGAAAAAAAATTGTCTTGCAGATAGCAAATTTAACTTTTTGTTTTAAAAGTTTCAAATTTTAAATGTAACTGAAGACACAAATATTCACTTTTCTTTTAAACTTAAAAATAAATAATAAATTAAATATTGTAATTTATATATATATAATTACGATAAATAATATTTTATTTAATCGCATATTTATGTACATGTATAAAAACAAAAATATGAAAAATGTGAAATGTAGCACTCCGCGAACCGGTAAGTCTGGATTTTCTTTCCGTTGCATTACACGTGTTTGTACGTTCTGCATGCACGTTCTGCATGCACGTTTCTGTTTGCACGTGTTTTTTTTTTTTTTTTACGAGAGTTTAAAGTACGCGCGAAACAAACTTAGAGCAAAACATAGTAAAACGAGAAACAGCAAAATGGCTGAGAGAGTCACTTCGCACCGACGCTGCACAAGCGGTAGCACAAATTTTGGACGTTAAAAAAAATCGCGGAAGAAATATTATAAATATTAATTAATAGGCCGATACGAGCAATAAAATACAGGATGACAGCGTATGAACAATAGTCTTTATTCAAAAAGACACAAAAAAACAAACGTTTCAGTCCACAATTTTGGACCTTTCTCAGTGTAATAATTGTTACATTCAAATAGTTTAACACATCGCTTCAGTACACAATATTTGTATTTCATCGTCATGTTCGATTGACATTATTTTATTATATTGAAGCGATGTGTTAAACTATTTGAATGTAACAATTATTACACTGAGAAAGGTCCAAAATTGTGGACTGAAACGTTTGTTTTTTTGTGTCTTTTTGAATAAAGACTATTGTTCATACGCTGTCATCCTGTATTTTATTGCTCGTATCGGCCTATTAATTAATTTGAACTTTTCACGAGCGATTGTTTGATTATTATAAATATATCAACTGATATACATATTCAACGTTAATAAAAATATCTCTAGAATGCGCGAGGTTTTGCGACAACATCGTGACGCTAAAAATTAACGGCAAATTCCTACAAGTAGTTTAGCAATCAAGGAAAAATACAATGGCGTGCAATGTCGTATTAACACTCAAGGCCACATCTCCGACGACCGGAGACTCAGTATTAATTGTACCACCATTTGATAACGTTACGAGTACGTTATCTCTAGAAAAAAAAAAAAAAAAACAAAAATAAGATGGTGCGTCAGTATCGTGACCGACAATTTCGCGTCTCGACCAGTTCAGACCTTGCGGTCGGTTGGTTTTATGCCATCGCTAATTGCATGTTGCATATTTCAAAATACAAATTTCGCATTACCGATCTCCCGATATTTACATCGCGCGACGTCTTTCCGACGACTCCAGTCGCGCTCCAACAGGAAGCCATTATCTTCCGTTAAGGCTCGACGCCAAGCTATCCACTTATGTAGAAACACTATCTTCTTGTGGATCACCGTGTATCAGCCGGCCACTTACGAAGCCCCGTCGGTGCTTGGACACTTGCTGCCAAGAGCCATCCGATATTTCGTCATGCTCGCCGCGTACGGCGATATAGACGTGCATCGCAACTACAAGCCAATTACACCAGATGCGATCTTGGTGTCTAAACACGTTCGAACGCCTCCGACGTCGCGATATGTGTGTAATTCGAGCAGACACACATGTGGCGCAAACAATGCCAGCTATGTCATCGGCCGTCAAGTGTCAATAAACTCGGTAAAGGATACACCTTAAAAATATCTTCTCAAGGACCGGTCTTCTCGTTCGTTATCGCATGCGAAATCGCATAATCCCACGTGAATATTTCATGTTTTACGCGTTTTTGCAAACAATAACTAGAAAATTAGAAACGTCCGTTTCTAACTTTGAGAAATAAAATACAAGATAAAAAAAATTGAAACTGTTACAGTCACACTCGGGTCTTTCAAATGTACGAATAAATAATTTTTATTGTTTAAAATTTTTGATATAAAATATTTTTCAGCAGCGGTGCGTCACAACGCCATCTCTTCTCGCAACGCAAGCGTGAACTCTGACACCGATGTTGGTGTATGATCGTGGAGTTTTTATCGACGGATGGAATAATATAAAACAGAGTACGTGGACACATAATACGTTTTTCTAAGAAGTATTTGCGAAATAATTTGTAATACACGTGTAAATGAAACATATTTTGTATTATAATCAAGCAAAACAAGCAATGCTTTCAACGCACATTTTCCGTTTCTTTGTTGCAATTTACGCACACAACGTCCAATAAAAACAGTACAGTATAGCAGTAATAAAGAATGAAACAAAAAAAAAAGAAAAAAAAACAAACAGGCAGAGACCCGTGCGTGGCACAACGCGCGGCATAATTTATTTACAATAGAAAAGACACGTATAATGCACGGTATAAGCATACAACAATTAGTCTTGACACATTCGGTCTCGCATTCGTCACGGTCGACGACCTGCGATTCGCGCGTATGAAAACCTAGCAACGTGCAATTACCTAATAAAGCTGTTAAACGACACACAAAGTATGACATAATTAGCGATGCAAGAACACTCTCAGTACGGTAACTTATATGTAAAATAGAGCTCGGTGTGTTTGTTAAAATCTCGGTTTCAAAGGAGCCATCATGTGTCTCCATAATGTGTCAATCGCGCTCTTCACCGTCGCGCTGCGCGCGCGCGCACGTAATACTTAATTAATTTAATCCTTCGTAAACAGACTATTCGAAAACGCCAACTAGTCGGACAGACTGGGTCTGCGAGACCCGCGCAACTTTGAAATCGAAATATCTTCGCAAACAATCAATATTTTTTCAATTTTTTTTTTTTTGAATCGAAAGTTTGAACGATTCTCTTGTAAAAAAATTGAAAAAATCTCTAGTATTTTCAAAGATACGAGCATTTAAAAAAAAAAAAAAAAAAAAAAAACACTAATTTCTTAATAGAGAAATACACCGGTTTGAAATTTTTGGGTGGGAGACCCAGTTTGTCCGCGAGATATTAATTTATTCATATTCGTATTTCTTATCTACGTTATTCTCTTAATGGAAAAATAATCTATCGTCTCTCTTGTCGTCAGAAGAAATCAAATCTGTCGCCGAGTATATAGATTTATGTGGTTTCCTTGTACAAACACGAAATGTGAAACTACCATTCTCTAGAACAACGACTCGTTCGCCCGCTGCGACTCCGTAAGCTCTAAGAAAGAAATCCTATAATCAATTATACGAGCTTGCGCGCGCGCGCGAGTAGCTGTTCTCCTTGAGTGCACACACGTTCTTGTCACGTGTTCGGCTACTTCTCATTAGTCGGCTGACAGAATCGCTTTCTCGCCCACCACACAGCGGCCAGTGCGGCCGCTAGGAAACCGATACCGGCAACGATTCCCATGGATATCGCGCGATTACGACGATAAGCGGGCACTTCCAAGCTGACTCGTTCGCTCGTCGCGACGTCGTCGGTGATGGACATCGCCGCTACCTCGAAGGTGTAATAACTCTCCTCCTCCAAAGCTTTTACTAAAAAACAGAGCAATCGCGAATGTTCAATCGATTATTTACTTTGTTATTGCAATAAAAAAGTAATAGGTAACTACAACACGTTGTTGAACAAAGTTCACGGACGTGAGGTAGTTGCTTACCCAAATAATAAGTGTCCGTCGTCTCGGCTCTTCCGTACAAATGCTCGGAAGGTCCGCTGAACCATCTCACGGTGTAAAGCCTAACTTGGTTCCTGCCGTAATTGGGCGGTTCCCATGTGACCAGGTAACCCTCGACTGTCGCTTGAACCCTGACGTTGCGCGGCGGTCCCATGATCTCAAGGTCTAAAAATCGATTTATACGAATTTAAAGTTCTTTTGCGTGTGAGATTCGCGATCGCAAATCTCTCTTTTTTCGTTACTTCTTACCTTGCGGACTGCGATATTCCGATGCCGAGTTCATCTCGTCGTTAGGAGCTGAAAATCAAAAAGTTTATGGTTAGGTACCGCATAATTCGTTACGCGAAATTTTCGCGGCGAAACGCGACGACATTCGTACTCGGCTGTGTGAATACTCGTAACGCCTTGCTAAACATTCCGTCGCCGTGTTTGTCTTGACTCAGCACCATAAATTCGTATTCCCGTCCCGGATTGAGATTGTTCACCGTGGCCTCCGTGATTTTTCTCGAGAGAATCTTCATGGTTCTCCACTCGGACGTGTCTGTGGGTCTGTACCTGTAGCGGAGAACGAGCGTCGTTACTTTGTTGCGTGTTAAACAGACGAAATTCAAAGAAAAATGAGTAAGATAGATCGGATTTTGGCAAGAACAAATTAAAAACAATAATTTTTTTCCTAGTTTTTGAACCGTTGAATCCGATTGCGATATTAAAAAAATTCTTAATTTGTCGGGAAATTATCAAAATCAATATTGTTTTCGGTATACAAGGTTTGGGTATCAAATATACGATATTTGAATAAAGAAATGGCTCTCTTAACCCATTTGCATCACAAAGAAAAGTCAAAAATTCGTTCTTATCACCAAAATTTTTTTTTACTGTATTTAAATTTTAATGAAAATGTTACAAAATATGAAAAATAAAGTCAATATTGCATAAATAAAGAATTTTGGTATTTTTCTGGTATAAATAATATGCGCTTTGGTGATAAATGCCTAAGTAAAATGCGCGCATATATGCGCTTATGATGCAAATGGGTTAAAGGTTAAAGGTTAATAGATGCGAGAAAATCAGTGGATGTGTTACCACACGGAATATTCCGTCTTAGGTCTCACGTATCCGGGTATCCAAGTTAATGTGACGGCGTTTTTGCTGCTGTTGGCGCTCAGATTGTACGGCGCTCTGGGTGGAACATTCAGCACCATCAATTCGGCATCCGCGACGACTGTCGCCGCCTCGTTGCTGGCCGCGCATTGATACATTCCCCGATCGTGCTCCTGAATCTTTTCTATCGTCAGATTTCCGCCGGTCATGATAACTCGATCGAGCGACAGAGGCGATCCGTCCTGTTTTTTTTTTTTTCGTCGAAAAAACACAAAGGCGCGCGCGTTTATTTAATTTTTAATTCAATTTTGCAATTTGAACTCTATATTGCTGATATTCGAGATAGAACGTACTTTGTACCACACGATGGTCGGTCGATGCGCGTCGTCGCCGTCTCTGGCGTCGCAAGGAATTTCCAAGTTCTCGCCCAGCTTCCGCATGTACAAATTTTGTGGCGTCACCGTGAACACCGGCGGCCTTTGAACTATCTGTAAAATAAATTTGCGAATCAACACGTCGGAAACGATGTTGATTACATCGTACAAAATACGAGTTCGCGAATATCGAGAAAAAATCCTTTCGGTTTCGTTCTGAAGAAATTCCCCCGCGCGAATTGGGGAACAAAAGATCAGTTAGCACTCTCGTCTGGTCAATGGTCTCACGTGACTGGCGTTTTATTGTGCGTTTCATCTCTTTCCTTATCCCTCTAATTTGTTTTTACGATATATTGATGGATGCATCACTCACCACGGTGATTGAGGGACTGGGCCCGTCGGTGCCCAGATCGTTGTAGGGTGTGCAACTGTAGCTTCCCGAGTGCGTCTCGTCCACTTTGCTAAAATAGAGAGATCCGTTTCGTCTGTAAAACACTCCTTGCACGTTGTAAGGATCGAACAAAAATCCGTCCTTTTCCCAACGGAGATTCGTCAGGGGTGGATTCGCTCTGAAGTGGCAGTCGAGAAGGGCCGGCTTGCCGTACGGAAGATAGACTTCCTTGGGCGCGTAAATTACCTTCGCCTTATCTGTGTGATTAAAAAAAAAAAAATAATAATAATAATTATCAGTACCGAGACGCGATTTCTTATGATGTTACGTGTGGCGTAGTTTACATTGAACGTTGAGAAAGGCCGACGCGCTTTGCTGATCTCCGTTTTCTCCGGTCACCACGCAGGTGTATTCCCCAAGATCGCCCATGGCAGCTGAATTTATGGTCAGTGTCCCATCGGCACCGATGGACGCTCTTCTTCTAAAATCCTGCGATCGCAATTAAAAAAAAAAAAAAGAAATGTTTCAACAAACGTTGCAACATTGATCGTATAAATAGAGATGAAAGCGGGGAACTTTTTTTACCTCTATTTCTCGAATTGGTGTTCCTTCACGAAGCCACGTTGCGGTTGTACCTTCGCCCTTGGTGACGCAGTCGAAGGTGACCGTGTCGCCTTCCATGGCAGTTTTGTTGATAGGCGGTATCGTAAGGAGAATTTCGCCTGGAATAGTCGTCGGAAACGGCGACGCACCTACATTGAACGATTTAACGAGTCTGCCCGGGTTCAGGTTAGTAAGCAGCAGCGGGGTTACGATATTTTTTTTCTCTCTTTGTCTGCATTTGAATTTATTACTCGCTGCTTCGTATCAGCGGCGTATTAACGGCGCGAGACCAACCAATTAGTCAAGTTTTGCATATTTTTAATTCGGCAATTTTGCCGAACACTCGTTAATGAGACAGAAACTCACTAGCAATCAAGGTAATGAGATGCACCGTTACCACAAAGCCATGTATATTATTTATTAAACGCACACGCAGCAGCGCATTGAATTTTTTTGGTAAGAAATTTGTTAATTTCAGAAGAAAATTACGTGGTGGGAAATTTAACGTGTAACGTTTAATTTAGGGCGCAACCTTGAATTCACCTCGGAGCAACTTACTTTCCGCAACGTATCGTGACAAATAAGCTGTCACACATACGTGTGTGACTCAGTCTTCTCTTGTAGATATATTACATAAAAGAGAATTTAATCCGGAAAGAGAAAAACAAGAATTCCGTTTAACTACCGTTGACTCACGAGTATCTTCTAATTGGCGCGATCGAAAAGTTTACGTTTGGGTAATGAGACAAGTGCGAATTAGTGTAATTAATTATTTAAATAATTATTATTTTAATTGTTTTTTTTTTATTTTTAATTTACGTTAGAAAGATATTCTACTCATCGGAAGATACCGAAGTAAACGCGATTATTAGCGTTTTTCAAAAAATAATTTGAAGAAATATATCAAATATCGCGCGTCGTGTAATGCAACGAGTCTGTCTCACAGAAGAAAGAAGACCGACGTGACCCTTCAATCAAGAGACAGACGGTTCTTTCTCACATGTACTTTAAGAGAGTCAAGAATGTCGGAGGTGTGCTTTAAAACGAGCGATTACGTATGAAGAAGACATCACACACATCCTACTTGCAAAAAATTTGGGGCACGAATTTCACAGCAATAAACTCGATTTGGCTCGCATCGAATTGACCCGATTTGATCAAGACAGCCTTTGTTAGTTGTCGGCACATCCAATCGTGTTAAATACATCATTACCTCGCATTCCCTAGTGCTGGCACACGGAATGTCAGTGTGTGCGTCACAAAAAAATAATATTAGTCAATTTTATAAAAAAAACAGCAAGAAAATGCAGTGGTAGATTTCGTAATTTGTTACTTCGAAACCCGTTCATTCTGCTGCAATTTCATTGCATGCACAACGCACGAGAGTTATGATCAGCTTACCGTCGATGGCGAGGTGGAACCAGGTGCCGTTGTTTCTCGAATTTGGGGTCCTGTTGGGAAATATTACCCTGCACTCGTACCAGCCCTGATCGCTCTCGCGTATATTGGTGAGATTTATGCTACCCTGTCCGTATCCACGACGACCGGCGTCGTCCAACAAGTGGATACGACCTTTGTATCTGTTGTCCACCGTCACGTGTCCGTCGTACCAAGAAAACACTGAACGACCCTACGGTATCGAAATCGGCGAACGTGGTGTGTTAAAATCCTGTCTTGTGTGAAATTAATTAAATTCTGTGAAATTTCATATCCGCCAAATGTTTCATCACGGATTACGTGTGTGAAACTAGTTACAAACATTGCCTTCCTTCTCCGACAAATGTTAATTCTCTTGTTGAGCGGTTTTGTTTTACACGTGTGATCACGGTAGGTGTGAGAACCTACGTCTCTTCAAGAAATTACACCGTGTAACCTGATAGTATTTGACACGGTTGTTAATTGGCTCATTTGAGAGGCGCGAGAGACTCCGTACAACGAAAACGCTCAAGGTCTTTCTTCGAGATCTGCATTTTTTTTTGCGTCGGACGAGATCTGCTCGTCGGTGAAATAAATACACAAGCGTATTGGGATGTTTTTTTTTTCTTTTTTTTTTTTTGGTTTTACTGGATTTGCGTCATTTTTCTATCAACGGATTCGGTGCTCGTCAAAGACGAGGAGATGAAAAAAATCTTCGGAAACGAGGATACCGCCGGCGCGGGAGAGCGAGAATGGCGCTAATCGCTTCTAATCATCTGACAATGCATTTAACAGTGACCCACACTGCCTGGACCCCTCATGTCGCAGACATGAACGTGACTAAATATAATGCAGCCTTGCGTCCCGTACTCCAATTACCACGATGGGCAGACGAAGAGGGAAGGAGCACCTGTTTTGCATACGCATCAGGGACCAATCAGGTTAAGTTCCACTTGATTCTATGCGATGGCCACGTGCAATGCGTTTCCGTCGTTACGGCCATCCATTTCGCGACATCCGCGAATGAAGACTCGGACGAATTCATCGCCTCCGTCGTTACGGCCGTCGTTGGTTTCGGTTTTATTTTCGCGTTGCGAAAACTTATCGGCGCTCTTTCTTAGCTCGATGTAAAAAAAAAAAAAAAAACAACAAAACAAAACAAAATTTCCACCACAGGTTTTCGCGGCGATCGCGGTTCTTCAGCTCGAGAGTATCTTGAGACCTTTTTTTTTTCTTCTTTTTTTTTACTCGGGGAATCGATCTTGTCGCTTCTTTGCGCGCGATTCTCTCGCGAGTGCAAGTTTCCCTCGCGTCGTATTGTGCAATACGTTCTCCTTGAAATCGAGAAAGACACGGAAAACCAGAGATAGAGACAGATATCGGCAACGTCATCGGAATCAGATATATTTCGTATATGTTTCCGAGGAAATCGAATATTCCGCTCTACCTTGAACGATTTTCCTCCGTGGCTTCTCTCTGCCGGAAGAAGGACAGATATGTGTGTGCGCGAGTATACGCGCGTCTGCGGTATGCAAATTGACCGTACTTAACTACGCGACTTAACGCTCTTTAATCGTCAATCAGTCAATCGCACATCTCGTCGTCTCGTCGTTACATCAAGTTTGTTGTTGCGAACGCACGTGTAGCGTGTCTTTTTTTTATTTTATTTTACACACTCGACTTCTGATCAATGTGTCACGTTGTATCATTGCGTGTCTGATTGGAAATTTGTTGTATAATAACATATTAAAAACACAAATGTAATGACTAGCGTCCGAGGCAAACTACGATTTATCTCAATCACGCAGCATGTTGCGTGTTTTCATTAATGACATCTGTCTTTTTCAAATCCATACAGTTTTTTTCCACGTCCGATGCGCAAACAGTCAAAATCCTCTAGTTGCTAGAATTTGCCACCTTGTGTCGCGAGCGTGTGCTGTGTCAAAAGTTTGAGACGAGTCTCATGACATTTTTAATTTTAACTTTTTTTTTTGTATTTCATGTGTTTTACTCTATTTATAGATTTTTTCTGCTTTTTTAATTTATATTTTTGGACGTAAACATGTACAATTTATATATTTCGTTTGTGGGGAAATTTTGTATTTTTTTTTTTTTTGAAGATGATTCACGGAGATCGAAACGTTAAGTTTCAAAATAAAAACAAACGATCGCGCGCCCCAACATCTCTTTGTTGTTGTTCAAAAAACTCTCATTGGTCCATTGCAGAACATAGATTTTATTGAATCGTAGCAATCTGTGAATTTGATGACGATGACGCTGTATCGGTCGTGTAAGGAGAGAAACGAGAAATTACGTGATCGCAATTATACTTCTTGCCGTGAAACCCACGTTCTTGGCGATCAATTCAAGAACCTTGTGACATATAATAATAATAATAATAATAATAATAACAACAACAACAATACTTACGTCGCGGTTCCATTGCAGAATATACGGGATCGGCGTCTCGTGCGGAAAGTCAAGATCGCAATTAAATACCGCGTACTCGCCCACCCCGGCGTTGAGATAATTCGGTTCCTTTTCTTCCTCCAGGATCAAGCTGTAGCTGCAGGCTGAAAAAAATTTCCGGCGAGATTTTTTTTTTTTTTTTTCACACATTTCCGGATTTATCGATTTTTATTTTGTCGTTTGCGATGTTTTTCGCGACGGTTAAAGCACACACATTGCGAATAAATGTCCGAGAGAAGACGTCGCGTGTAAAGTGATATTACGCATTGGGACTAATTTCCGGAGATTGCGTAATTTTCCGCCGGATTATGCGTGACGATCGAGCGCGGTGATAAAATGATACGTTGTGTTGTTATCCCCGTTTCCCTTCCTCTCTCCTTCTCTCCTCTGTGTATAAACAGGACGCCGCGCCCAAAAATACGCAAGTGAACGCGCGAAGGAAAGGTATGTTGCAAAAAAAAAAAAAATTTTTTTAATTAACGGGCAATATCGGTGGAAAACATTTTGCGAGATGATTTTGCGGGAATACGCGTTGTTATATTTCACACGGGAAAGTTACACGCATGTGTGCGGTGCTAACGTGTGTTGTTTTCTCGTTACGCTTAATGAGCGTTTTATCATCGCGACTGTATTTTAAGCGCTGGAGTAAACAAAATGCGCGTTTAACTCCCGCCCGGTAGTCTCAAATTTAGTGTCCGCCACACGCTTTAAATGGTAATCAGCGAATTGCACCATTTGTCGTCGTTGTGCGGTGTGCGAGTCGGTGGTTTTTGTGTCGCACGCGAAAGTTCTTGCAAAATTTTAAGTTTTTTTTTTGTTTTGTTTTTTTATTATTCCAAAGTCACTGTTTCTCGCCCGAGAACGCGCGAGAGAGACGTCATTTTTTAGCTTGACGCGTCGCTTGATTCGCTCTTACCTTCGTAGCAGAGGAAGACCGCCAGCAGGCTGTAGAAACTCGTGACGCGGTTCATCCTGACTCCGAGATCCTGTCTCCGAGATTAACACTCTACTTATTATGTTGCGTTAACGTAACGTTGTCGCACTGGCAAGAACGACGATAGGTCACAATCCGCGACAACGACCGGCACATCTGTCATCACCAGCACTTATCGAACATCAGCCGCCACCTTCGGGCTCAATTGAGACGCGTGTCACTCTCACGCCGCAAACGTTCGCTTCGATTTTCACCCTCCGATTCTTCCTTCGATCCTCCGAGAAACGACGCGAGAATCTCTCGCTCCTTTTTTTCAATATGTTTCTCTTTCGCGCGAACTTTCGAGCTTCTTTGGTTTTTTTTCTTTTTTTTTTTTGGATTTCTTCTTTCTCGCGCGAATTCGTTGGGAAAAATTCGCTAGCTCAACCGTCACCGCTAAGTTCGACACTTAGCGCATCATCCGGGATACCGATATCGTCAGCGGGGGGTCGTTGACACCGGAGAATGCGAGAGTCGGAAGATCATTTGGTATCCCGCCCTGGGACGACGCGCGAGTTTGATCCGAGACGAGACGAGAGAGACTGGACACTTCACCGTGGAGTGCTCCGTAGGCAACACTAGATCAAGTAATCGTACCGTGTAAATCCGAGCGGATACGAAGAGTCAGAGGAGAGTAACGAGCAACGGGAGGGGGCTGCGAGGGTGGATAGATAGATGGACACAGACAGATCCGCGATGCACGCGCGAGGGAAGGAGAGAAGAGAGAGAGAGCATCGCCGATTCTCTATTCGGGCACGGTATGCACGACGACCTGGTTTGTATGCGTCGCCATATGCGACAACTTCGGCACACCCATGGCGACACGAATGAACGGCGTTGCACAAAACGCGCGCGGCCTATTGCGCGTGCGATTAATTCGATCTCTTAAAAACCCAAGCGCGCACGGTACAGAAATCTGCGTCGTCAGCTGCCCGCGTACATTGTCCGTCGAGCGAATTGTTCGTCGGACACCAGAACCGGCATCAGAACGTCGCAGCTAGCATTGTCGTAAGAGTTTCGGGAAAACTTGGGAGGAAAATAACGAGACACATTTTAGGGTTTTTCAATTTGATTTATTTATTGCCTCGTGTAAAATATACTTTTACAATTTTTATCGGTTTTATTTTATTTGACTCAGACTTGTGTTAATTTTGCCGAGGACAGACGATGGTGATTAACGGGAAACGATTTTTCGATAAGTAAATTTTTCTTGCAGTTTTTATATATATATATTTTTTTAGATATTTTTTAATAAAAATTTTTGCTTGCGCGCTACAAGTGTAACGTCTAATTCGTGCAACTGTTCAGCATATAGGTACACATTGTGGCTTTCGAAAGAGAAAAGAACGCGGCGAACACGGTCATTTAAATTTTTATTGCGGACACAGCATCTTCTAGATATAATATAAATCCTTTGGTGTTGCTGGTGAAGCAAAGGGTCGTGTTCGTACAACGGGAGCGGAAGAATTAACCTGCATTCAAGTTATCTTCGGTCGCCGACTCGTGCTCTTTCATCGCCGTTCTTTCTTGGTCAAAGCTGATTCAAGAGAATTAAAGCCCACGTGCAACGTGCAAAGATTAAAAAGTTTATCTGGTTGCACACGCACGAATTCTTCATTTTTTTTTTTTTTTTTTAAACGACACGTAGACGCGATTGATGCGAGTTGGTCTTTTTTTTTACGTTGAAAAAAATTTATTTATTCCGGATAACGAGCAGCGCGTTGAAGTCAAATCGAAAAAATAATTTATTTTTGAATAAATTGCGATGCGCGAAACAATTAGCTCATTTTTTTATTTGCAATTGTCGCCGTTAACAATTCGTTCAAATGTTAATTTGTTGCAAAAGATCGTATCTTGTTGCGATAATAAATTAATGACGCGCGGAGTTTGTTTTATAAAGAATTTATAGAGTTTACAAAAAGTTTACAAAGAGTTTGTTCGGTTTTATTTTGAACTATTACGAATCTAAGAGACGTAATATGTGCGAATTCTTCTCGGGACCTAGTTTTTGAGTTAAGTGCGCAGAAACATAACAGCAATAAAAAGCGAATAAACGTGAGAAGACTGAAAGAGAGAGTCCGCGAACTCTCACAATAATCAAAAGATTTCTCTCGTACCCTTTTATATTCGCCTACATCCTGTAATTGTCATTTCAACTCTTGTAAAGCTGAGATGGTCTCCGCTTGCGTCCTGTTTACCGTCCTCGGGTTCGTAAAATTGACGATCTTTTTTCTCTCTCTCTCTCTCTCTCTCTCTCTCTCTCTCTTTCTCTCTCTCTTTCAATGTGTATTCTTAGCACAAGTACGGAGGAAATTAGCAATATTCGTTTGTGTAGAAGCTTGAAGTGAGATAAATCTTTTAAAATAACGCACGCGCGCGCGCGGTAATAGAAATCCATACGAGATGTATCATCTCGTGCGTGAATTGTAACGAGAGATCTGTAGTTTTTACTCAAAGATCAACTTTTTTTTTTTTTGCAAACTGCAACTTCTTACGGATCGCGAGGTACAGTTTCGGAAGCTGCGAATCTCGGCGATCTCGAGATCATCTCTCGCATCGATTCCTCATATGATGCGGTTTCGGCGCGCCGAAAAAAGTCGCACGACGCGAAACTGCATCGGAGCAACTGCGCGCGCGTGGGTGACCTCAGATTACGTCACATCCGTCCCTTGCCGCATTAGCAGACTGCCCACAGCCTTGTCACGCTGTTTGAGATAATGGATCCATTCGCATGGATCACGATTCAGGATTGGATGTGCCCGGGACACTGGAAATAAATGCGCGCATAATGATACCGACCGTATTATTTCATCGTCTACGCATCAGAGGAGGGGAACCGCGGACGCTCTCGCGTTCGAGACACCTGTTCGCGAATCGATTCGTCTGAAATTCGGATGAAAATAGACACCTGGTTCGCGAAGCAGGAGATACGGTGGGGATGATTTTATTGCACGTTCGATCGTCGTACGTCGTCTTCCGACGATGAATTCTTTTCGCTTCTTATGTCGAGGCCGATAGCAATCTTAAATCGCACGATATAATAAAGTCAAATTTAAACATTGCGAGAGATTCATCTAGCGCTTTGATTAGTCGAGTTGACGTCCGCACGGAATGCGAGAGATTTAAGTTCGATTCTTGGACGGTGTTTCTCTCTCTTTCTTTTTTTCGCAATAGAATTTTTAAATTTCATTAGAGAGTGTTATTATAGAGAGGAAAATTTACGGATATTTTAGATTATACGCAGAAATTAATACATGGGAAAAAATTTGACTAGAACAGCAAGAAGAGATTGGTTGCTATTATATATAGCCGGCAGGAGAGTTTGCTGAACTCTTATGAAAAACGTTTCGTTGATGAAACGACAAATTCTGTATAGACTCGGTAAATTTTTCTTGCTGGTCGTATGTAATAGCAAAAACTTCTTTTCCGTGTACGAGATAAAAATCGAGATGTTCTGATACGAATTTTCGAATTGAATTTAATTCAAATTTTCATGGTTGTTAATTCACACGTTAAATAAATTAGCATGTGCATTTACGGCGCATTGACTCGACCTTGAAACTTAGTTTGCCGCGTGATGTTTGTGTGTAAACATTTAAAGTGAGATTTAAAATTTTATTTTAATATTTTTGAATTGTTTGTCGCACTTAATCAAAAAGATACGTGGGAGATCTTGAAAGATATCGAGTGAATGTAACAAATAATGTAAAACTGTGTGTGATCGCACTTTATTCCTCGGAGCGAACTTCGAAGAAACGATTTCTTCGAGAATCGGCGCTTCGTATTTGAAAGCGATTCTTGCGTAAAAACGTGCGCATCAAGAAGCGATGTGAGTCGTCGTCCCGATAAAACGTCTTTCGTAACAAGATTCGTTGCTCCAGTTTTTGACAAAAAAACGCGGTGAATACGGTGAAAGATAATGGAAATGACTGCAATTTTCAGTAATCAGTGTCGCGGACACGCCTTGCGCAAATGCGTGTCTTCTCAGTTAATGTTTCGATTGCACAGTCTCGCGCTGTCTCGAGAAAATTACAGCCGCTCTGTGATTTCGCGCGTATCAGGCGTCAAAATCTCTTTTCGCTTGGAAGATTACATCTTGTACGCAAATTTTTCTCCTACTCGCAGTTATTTTATCTAATTATTTCGTGAATATCGTTTACATTTTGCTTTGAAACAAACAAAGAAACACGCGCGATCGGTTCTTAATGAAAAGCTTGCACGCACAAACGATAATTACATCCAGCGATCTGATTTCTCTTTATCTTCTGACAGTGATCCCGTTGCCTTGACCAGAACAATCTCATTCTCCGCTATTAGGGTGTAGAAATCCTCTTGTTGGAAAATGGGCAAAGAACATGGTTGATACCGTCTAACAACTTACTTAGATATTGATCTAACGATGTCACGTCAAGTGTCGTGATATTCGGTGCCGACGGTCATTTAAACTTTGCGGTTAACCCTAGACACCGCAATGTAATTAATCTCTGAATAATATAACTCCGGTGCAATGGCTTTTTCTACTTGTCTAGCGTCTGAGAGATTTAGTTGCAATGTTTGCGAAAATTAAAATTGAAATTTGAAAAAGTTCATTTCAATAAATTGGTTGAAATAAAATTTTTTATACGAATGAATGAAATAAATTAGGTTGTAAGAGCCGTTTGCAGGATGTTGTGCAGAGAATGTGCTTAAATATATATATATATATATATGTATACACATATATAATTCGAAATAATTTTTTTTTTTTTTTTTTATGAGTTTGTCAAAAGAATGGGAATTCTTGCAAAGGAAGCGATTGAGCGAACGTAACAAACAGCGTAAGATCACACAGTGCTTATTTCGTGTTTGTGATAAAATTGTATTTCATACTTTTTTCCCTTCTTCCAGAATTAAAATTACGACATGTTTGCGTAAATGAAGCGTTCACGTGTGTTAGTTAAACAATTTAATACAATATTGCTGCAACGTACATGTTAATTTACTCATCATAGTGCTTGTTTGTGATCGTCTTGATACTCTTAACGTCTGAAATAAAAAAAGAAAAAAAACATCGTACAAGACGTAAAATAATATATCACTTTTAGTGTCTCGAACTTAGAACTTATATTAACGTGCATGTGTGAGGGAAAATCAATACAATACGAATGTTCTTTGAGAACATCGCTCATTTCGTTTCAAATGTCGATTTATTTTTCATTTTATTTAATAATAAATTGTCTACAATTTTCTCCTAAGTTAGTACGTCTTAAAGTTCTCGTGGGGGGGAGGGGGGAAAAAGGTTCGCGAGAAAGCATATAGATCAATCAATCAAACTTGGAATAATGGAAGTGATGAACAACGAGCATTCGTATGTGTGTACGTGTGTGTACGTATGTGTACGTGTGTTTGTCTCTGTGTGTACGTGACCAACCAAACGATTTTTCAAAAACGCACTTGTTTGTGTACAGATTCGATGGCGGATAGTCGAGAATAAGCAGAAGAGTGAAGACAGACGGTTTTACAGAAGTTTACATTACATTGTGTAGAAGCGACTCGATGTAAGGGCTCGTGATGCGGCTAACGATTATTAAGTGTAAGACGTATTACATCATGACGTTTCAACGAAAACAAAAACAAACAACTGGCTGTGAAACAGAACGAGAAATAAACAAAAATCTCGACTTCGTGTTATGTTTTTTTTTTTCACCTTCGAGTGTGACTTTTGACGCGTAATATGTTCATTAAAATAACAAATTGCTCCGATGACGGTGCGCGATGATACACGAGCACTCCGATAAATCCGTGCTTGAAACTGCGACAAAATCCTCAACTGAAGTCTCACGAGAGAGCGCGCGCATAGATTTGCTTTGTCGAATTACAAAAAGAAAATCTATTGAAGAATTTTTATACTTTAATATATTGCACACAAAAAGAGAAGAGATATGAGACGCACAAATTTTTTTTTTTTTTTTTTTTTCCCACAAGCCAAAGCGCGCGTAGTCGCAGATCCAAGCGACCAAGCACCCGAAAGCCATTTGAAAATTGTTACTGAAACAACATCTTCTGCGTCGAAGTACTCGACTCGATGATTTCATCCGACCGATATAACAGCGGCGTGTATATTTTTAAGTTAAATTATTATCTCTCGTGTATTGTGTTCGACGCGCGCGCTAATGCAACACCTCGAAGCAGTTTCGTAGCCGCGCCGCGCTCTTTTGCAATTTAAATAACAAATGTCACCGAAGAAGACTCCGAGTACTTGTTATTGCGGATACGTTCGAGAATTTTCAAGGTTCTCAGCGAGACGAAGAGAAACACGGGTTGTGTGTGATTCAAACACGAGAGAGCTTCTCGATTTTACATTGTGTTCAATAATTTCCAACAGCACTTGTCTGAACAGAGAAGATTTATTGCCATTTGTGTGTCGTAAAATCTAGATTCTTCGCGATATTACGCACTTACATAACGTGTTTATTTTGTTGCGGAGTTTGTTTATACGGAAACTCGTGGAAAAAAAAGTAAAAAAGCGTGTGAGAGCGTCGTTCGTTTTCCGCGTGAATGTTTGACGTAAACTGCTTCGAGAAGACAAAATAAATTTCGAACTCTCTTTTGCGCGGAGACTTCTCGAAATCTCTGCCTGGCTTTCAGGTACGTGATTGAACGAAAAAATGCTTGAAAAAAAACAAAAAAAACAAACAAACAAACAAAATTAAATCGATTCGGTCGCTCGAAATCTCACGCGAATCTGACAACGAAGAGAGACAAAAGACGACGAAGTCGTTTCGCAAACGCAGAAGGGCGCGATGACGACGCATTCACGACGAAAACGCAAATGAGGTTGTTTTTTTTTTTGTTTTTTTTTATCAGTCAGAAGGAAACGAAACTCAGAACGAACGAAAGAACGTCGTCGTGACGGATATCCGAGGACAATTGTCCATTTTACACGAACGGATTCACGATTCAACCATATTATCCATAAACACACGCCGTCAAGCGAAAACGTGACATTTCTTTCTTCTATATTATAATTATCTCTTTCTTTCGCGCAAACAAACTTCACGCGGTCTTCCACGATCTGTCGATCTACTTTGTCGGACACATTTCATATAAATCTCTTCGTTTTGTCTCGTCGACGAGAACTGCCGTTTCTTTTGCCGCTGCTCGTGATAAGCTCGAGAACGCGGAGGTTTCGCAAGATTCCCTCGTTCCTTCCCTCTCTCCATCTCGCTTTTTATTCCTCTCTTCGTGTCCCTTTCGCTATTTTTCATTCTCTCATTTGCTCTTTCTTTCTCTCTCTCTCTCTCCATCTCTTTCACGCACATACACACTTATCGCGATCGTTCACGCTGCGTGACCTTTTTTGAGATCGTTGTATCTAACTATGATATATCTACATGTTACTTATATATCTATGTGTTGGTTCACTTTTTTTCTTTCTCTTTCTTTCTCTCGCTCTCTTTCTCTCTCTCTCTCTCTCTCTCTTTCTCTTTCTCTCGCTATCTCTCACGATCACGATTCTTTCTTTCTTCTCGCATCCATTCACAAAGAGGGGGAGGGAGTCTGTCAAAATTTTTTCTTCGCATACAAATTTATCACCACGTCGGAAACGTTTCATAGACATATTTCAACGAACCTTGAGTCAAATTTATTCTGTTTTGCTTCTCCAACGACACGTCTCACGGTACATATCGCTAATATTTTTCATGATTTTTCGATGATCAAAGCGTGACGATAAAAATTGATATCTTTCTTTCGTTTTTTTTCCTTACGCAAGTCTCTCTCTCTTTCTTTTTCTCTTCAGCGTTTCTCCTCCCCCGTCGCTCTCCTAAGTGTCACGTAATTGTCGCGCAGATATAATTAATTTACGAATATTCGCCGCGTTTTTTTGCTCTCGTTGATTAATACGCTACACGCTACGTTGTTTACGATTTACAATATCAATTAATTTATCAAATTATTAATTTAATCATTAGAATTACTTTAGAATATTGGTATTCTTTCGCGTAACCTCCGTTTATCTCTTAACTTTTATCATCAGTTTTTTTTATTTTTTATTTTTTATTATTCCGCTATACCTGCGTGTGTTAACATTTAGTTTTACGTTTTTTTTTTTTTTTTTTTGTCTCAACAACCGCACTCTTACTCACATTCCGTGTTTACATTCTCGCTCGCAGTCTCTTCGCTCGTCCTCGTCTCATTCCGCACATTCGCACGTCGTACGCACGCACACATACACGCACATATGCGTATTTTAACGAAATTGTACAGAGCGTCCCGCCTCGTTACGGCGTCCACGCCAAATTCTTTTTTTTTTTATTTTTATTTTTATATTCGTCTTCCTCTGTTTGTTTTTTCTCTCCTCGACATTACGGTTCGTCGAAGTATAGTTGAATCGTGAGTGTAGGGCCCTTGCTAATATTTATAATAAATATGTATAATACGTACATATATATATATGTATATATATATATATATATATAAATAAGTGTTTGTACTATAAAGAAAGTAAAACGCCTCGGAGGCCGCGGGCCGGGAACCGATCGCGATTTTCACATTTGGGGAGGGGAGAGAGTCTCCAGATCGCGCGTGTAGAGAAAATTAGAAAAAAAGGGTAAGAAGAGGAACGAGCGCGCCGCCGGATCCCCGTCTCGCCGGGGAGAGAGACGTTTTTTACGTCGTCGTTAGGTCGCGCGGCTCGACACTGATTAGCCCGTAGATTTGTCCGAAAACTCCCGCGATCGGCGAACGCCGGCCCCCGATCTCACGAGATTCGAGATGATCTGATGCGTTTGATGAGAATTAGGTGGGTCTCGAAGAACGCCTCTTTCGTATATGTGTATATGTGTGTATGTGTGTGTGTATGTGTTTAACGTGTCAATTGTATTAGGATTGTGTATCCTTGCGCGTGTGTCGCGTGTGTCTTATTCGTTTTCTCTCTAATATACGAACTCCGGCGTAATCGGCGCATGTGTGTGTGTGTACGCGCGCACGCCACTTTCGGCGGTGATGATCGCGCGTTCCTATCGGTCGCCCTTCTCTACTTAATTATTTATATATCTTTACTTATATTTATTTTAGAGTTTTGCTTATAATTATATTTGACGACAAAAGTCTTCGTATGAAATGAAACGCACAGTTGGATTCTTCTCTCATCAGCAGTTCGTTGAAAAGAAAATTATTCTCTTCTCTTTTGCGTGCAAGATTTCTTTTCTTTTCTTTTCTTTTTTTTTTTTTTCAAGTTCGAACACGTTCGCGCTGCTAGTCTAATTCGAAAAGGGCGTCCGGTAGAGATCCCGGAGTGCCGATAGGTGATTTGACCACACCGTGTTGCCAACATAGCAGCGCGCGTGGTAAGCGTGCGCGCGCAGCCGTCGCTCTGCACCGGCCGACCGCGCGTAGATTCAAAGAACGTTATTCTTATTCTCGAGTTTATTTTTTTTTTTTTTTTTTTTTACGTTGCTTAAGAAAAATTATTGTGCCGATAATATGTTGGGTTGCTAGCGAAACCCTAAACAGGCAGTGCAGTATGAGTGAGTCCTTAAGCAATCTCGAGGCAAGCTTCGGCCTAATATCACGTTTCGAGTCCATTGCTCATCGATATAATTACTTTTGTGTGTGTTTGTGTCTTTCTGTATATGTGTGTGTGTGTTTGTGTGTGTGTGTGTGTATGTATGTGGTAATTCTTCGATTATCTTACTTTTTTAGTTTCCCTTTCGTTTTTTTTTTTTTTCAATTATTACTTACAGTGTACGATTAAATTTAATCTTACAGTTCGTTTTTTCTTTTTTTTTTTCTTTAAAGATATACGAAGAGCATGTACAGTGGTACAGTTTCTTTGGAGTATCATGCCGACGTAACTATGTCCTCCTACGTTTCTTTTTCTTTTTTCTTTTTTCTTCTCGTTTTTCCCGTTTTTCGGTCGCGACGCGGGACAGCATCGTAATAATAGCATCCCTTTGAGCCAGCCGGGAGTGGTTTTCTTCCTCTGCGCACTTCCTATTCTCTAGGACAGTTCCACTGAGTTAAAAAAATTGTCCTTCCCTTATTACTCGTTCACGTAAACTCTTTATTTATGTTCCTCTACATTATATTATATATATATGTATATATATATTTATATGTAGTAACGTTAAAAATCACGGTCCTCTAAACCGGACGTAGGCGTGGTTGGTGTACGCGGGATATGACCAATAATAATCGGATTCGAACGTTTTTTCGTTTTTTTTTTTGTTTTTTTGTTTTTTTTTCGCGCTTCGTTTCTACATTTATAGATCCCCCTAGCGCGATCGATGTCGCTGAACGTCGCTGGGTAAATCCCACCGAGTAAATCCCCCGTGGGTGAATGATATCGAGATTGCTTCCCCCGAAGAATGCTCGACGATCCTTCTAAATCGGTAAACGAGCGAGACTCCGAAGAATTATCGTCTTAACGTACGGTTTTTTATTTTTATTTTTTTTTTGTTTTTTTTTTTCTACTACGTCGCTTCCATCTCAGTGGTTGTGCGAAAACTTATATACTCCTGAGCTGACGTTTATAACAGCCTTCTTTTGTAGATGGATGTCCAGCTACTAGAATTGACTTAAAACTCCTCTAATGCAAAATCACGTGTGATGATGATCGTCGTTGTGCTGCTGCGGCGGTTGGTCTTTGGTGATGATCGTGTCGTCGTTACGTCGAAACGCAGTCCTCTCTACCCCGTTAAGATAAGAACCGAATCATCTCTCATCACGAAACAGTATCCTTTTAGATTCTTTCGTTTTCATCGTCCAGCTCTTCGAGTGTGTGCTGTTCCGTCACGTCGTGAATTGTTTCTCTCTCTCTCTCTCTCTCTGTAGTAACCGCTTCTGTTACCACCACTTTACTGTACCGTAATCAGTCGAACTAGCTGTAACGTGTCCTCATCTCTCATGCAATTTTCTCTTGCTCTGACTTAAATATATTTTCACTCTCGTCAGTAGACTTATAACTACGCAGCGTCCTTAAAGAATGCGAACATTTAATCGATCGAGTCAAGTTTCGAGAGTTCTCTTCAACACGCACTTTCCAAATGCGCGCTTTGCCTTCTTCTCGCCTGTCTTTGTCGAAACTGATGAAACTCCGCTTTCATCGCCTGCACCCTGGCCTCTATGTTGTCTCTGTTGTACCTTGGCGCCTGATGATGTTGTACCGTGTGCACCTGATGAATGTGGGGAACGTGGATGGTGTGGATCTGATGCATCGGTGGCCGCTCCTCGCGCGTAGGCGTCGAGGCCGACGTGGGCGTCGGTGTGCACGATACCGGATCGAACTCGTAATGGCCGTCGACACTGCCGGCGTCCACGGCGTTCTGTATGTGCGTATGTCCCACTTTGGGCTGATCTTGGAGCTCGAGCCAGCGACCCACGAGAGGCGGCGGGGGCGGCCGGTAGGGTGGCGGTCGCCATTCAGCCACTGTGCTGCCACTCCTTGAACTCTGATTTTGTTGCGAGGTGTTCTTGCTGCCAAAACCCGAGCTGCTGGATCTGCTCTCGGGCGAGGTTTCCAGATCGGGCGAGGCCGCAAGCTCAGGCGCCGATCGGGCATGTCTGGCGTGCCTCGGCGGCAGCCTTGCTCTCGGTCGTCCGGCCGGTTGTGGCGGCGAGGACGTGGCGAGCGGTTGAACCGGCACGAATCGCCTGGACTCAGCGTGAATTGCCCTGAGCGATGGCAACTCCTGGCTGTATCGCTGGTGCACGCTGCGCAGCTGAAGGTAACCAGGCGGCGTCGGAAAGGAACGTTCGCCGGAGGATGGTTGTTTAACCGAGCTGAGATCGCTAAAGTACAGAGGGTTCCAGACGGGAGCTCCGCTCGGCGAACTGGCCAGAAACCTGGGCGACACAATTGTGCAGACATTCGCGGGCGGTATCCTCGTCAGGGTGGCGGGATCGTGATGACAGTAACCGGTCGATCGCAACGGACCTATGGACACGCCGCTGCCGTCGGATCTCAGGCTGAGCTGGCTGGTACCGACCAACGGACGCCTCCAGGAGGACTTGAGCCGTTGCTTTGGCAGGAAACCGCCATCGTCGCTGCTGGAAACGTCCAGGATGCTGTTGTTGGTCGAGCTGAGCACCGAGTCCGCCACGACGAAGCGTCCGTCGGCCGCCCGGGAGATCTTGCCCAACGGACGACAGCGGCAGGAGTCCGGAGTGCCCGGGCTCAGAATCTCCTTCAGGAGTTTTAAACCTGGTACTCGGCTTTTTCTAGGTCTATAGGTAGGACAGAAAGAGCGTTAGAGCGATCGTAGCTATAGCGGTGGCAGCTAAAACGGCCTGATCGAGATCGTCGGAGGAAGTCCTAAACGTTAGATCCTTGGACAGGATCCATCGTCAGTTTTCTTTTTTTTTTTTTTTTACCGAAATTTCTCACTGAACAATATGAATCTTACTTCACAAATTTACGCATGCGTTGAATCGTATGAAAATAGCGAACATCGGTGCTTGTTGCATGTGAATAAAGCACGTTTGGTGACGAAAGTTTTTATCTAATTGACTTTGAATGATGACTGTTCGGTGTCTCTCGACACGAAAGAAATTTCGGCAGCGATATGTATTATTTATACTCAAATATTCACCTCTATAACTAAATATGCACATATCTATGTATATAATCTATAATCAGACTCTTCCTCCGACGTGGTCCATCGGCCGCTCGGCAACAGCAAGATACGTGCAATACGAATGGCAAAAAACACGCAACGTTAAATAAATAAAAAAACAGTAAACAAAGTTACTAGACAAACGTAACGTAAAAATGCCAATGTATATATTCAATCAAGAGTTATACGGTATATAAGATAATTATTAATAATCAATTACTTGTACGTATGTAATAAACGTATAAACGGATGCAGGCAGGGAGGCATGCGCATGCGTATTCCGGTGCACGAGTGGTCGGGCGTGATGTGGGGTTGTGGATGGGTGGGCTTTGGCAGTGAGTGGATTCTTTTATTTTTCTCTCTTTATAATTGTCAAAACCAATTCCGTTTCCGTTATATGTACATGTATAAATATTCTCGTTTTGTTCGCAAAATTTTGATTTCCGTTTTCACGGACGTTATTTTACACGATCTTTTCTTTTTTTTTCTTTTTTTTTCTTTTTTTTTTTGTGGTTTTTTTTTTTGTATTTCTTTCGATTTTGATCAAGTGAGATAGCAATTGTGGAATTAGGTGCTCCGAAACTCGTCACCTTTTCTCCTCCTTCGGGTCCGGCAGCAAGGAAAGATGAGGGAGAGAGAATGTTGTAACACAACGATTATACATTCACAAAAAACAATATATCGTGGCGGTAACAATAAGAAATATAACGCTAAATAACCGAATGTTACTTCTAGGCGGTTAGTGTTAGGGAGCAAATAGATAAAGTGGTGTCGTATAATATGTAGGGTGTCGATAAAAACGCGCGGTTTCGATTTTTAGCTCGAGTTGATTAATTCGATAATTGAACGGGATAATTTTCGCGCGCGCGCGCGCACGCACGCACACACACACACACACACATACACACATACGTATATACATATTGTTTCCTCATACAAAGAAACATAATCTCGTAACAGACTGGCGGTATAATATAAAGACATACACAGAGAAAACATGTGAAAGGATATACACAAATGGACGATCGAATGCTTCGCAGTAAAGGAAAAACAAATAATGAGAGATCCTCGTATGAAAGTAGCAACAATATCACGAAGAATGTTGAATGTTGTTTTTTTTTTTATATAAATATAAATAAGCTTTTACACAAAACAATACGATGTTTGTTCTTCGGAAGGCACTCGATCTCGCAAGAAAAATGAGAAAACCGATCAAAAATGCGGAAATTACACAACAATGGAGTGGGTAAAAATCAGGCGGCAACAACAGACCGAATTTCAGTGGTGGGAAGGCCGGTGTACAAATGTATCAATTTTAATGGGCTGAGAACGGGATATAATAATGCAACGAAGCGTCGTGTGAAACGATTAAATAGATATAGATACGACAATGGTGGTGAGACGTATAATATATCATGAATGCGGATTTTCGCACGTGGCCGCAACGAGCGCGGCTTACCCATCTCTCGCCTTGCTTATTGCCGAGTGTTCGCGTGTTAAGCACGAGCGTGTCTGTCTGTTTATTGGTCGTCTAGAATCGACAGACTGGAAACAATCAAATAACACAAGAAGCTTGAATTAGAGCTCCGACTGGTCTTGGCAATAATGATCGTTGCAGCTCGGCGCGCCGTCGTCTATGCGAATCGAAGTTTTATTCGATCCCTTTGATGTTCCTTCGTCAACGATTGATTCGTCAAACCGGCTGTTAAACGGAGATTGTACGAATATATATTGCAGTTTGTGTTTATGTGACGAAGCTTAAGTGATTGCGTCACATGCGATTTGCGTTGTGTGTTTGAGAACGTGTGGGCGTGTGTGTGGGTGTGTGTGAAAAAAAGAGAATCAAAGATTGATATTGTTACGTGAAAAGATAAGATGTAATTAAAAAATGTGAAGAGGTACAAGTCTGATATTGGCGTACAAATTGTAGCGCGTCAGATTTTGTAACAATTGCTAAAAAATATCTTCATTACAAAAATATTATTAACAAGTAATAAATATTAAATATGCGATATAATGGATATATTAATAATAAATTATTGTACCTACAATTATTGTACACCGAATCAGATTTAAATAGTTGAAAAATTTATAGCAAGTTACTGGATAAATTTTTTATCATATATAATTTTTAAGCGAAATGTATATACTGTTCGTATAAATTTTCACTAAAATGCACACGAAAAAAAATTACAAAAATACGCCAGTAACTTCCTATTGACATCGTTTACGAAGTAAAGTTCAATGAATACTAAAGAAAAACTGCGCTTGTAGTAACAGAGTGAGGTGGAAGCATCGTTAGTGAGATAAGATTTAAAAATTTAAGCGATATATGATTGGTGAGCGAGTAAGTAAAACGAAGATGCACCAACAATAGTACAATATACAATTCTTTTAAATATATAAAAATATAAGAGATACGTGAAAGAGACGTGGTTAAAAAGCGATGGCTACAAAAGTTAGCGCGTGTGCTACTCGAAAGAGACATGAGATGAGTTTTGTATAGACAAATTGCGATCTTCGAAAGGTAAAAATTACTCGCAGGGGAATATGGTCTATATATTTATATAAATAAATAGATATATCGCGCACGCGCTTCTCAGACACATTTGTGCTCGGCGCGAAGTAATAATGCGATGTTTAATGACGAAGAAGAAAATGAAACATTCGCGCGCGCGCGCGCGCGCGGAAAAATGAAAAATAATGAAGCGAGCGATTCAGTTTAGTTTCATAAAGAGAAGAAGAGAGCGGGAAATGCAGAAATATCATAAGAAATGATTTGCACGGAGAAACGATAATATGAAGAATGAACGGAGGAGGAGGAGGAGAGGCAGGCGGGATTGTGTCAAAGAGTGGATAATAATGAATTGTGATTAATAGCGCGCGCGCGCGCGCAAGCGATAGATTTCGAGATGAAATGAAAGATCAATATGAACGTAACAGAGAAGCGACGACGTGACGTATTAAAAAAAAAAAAAAAAAAAAATAGAACAAAAGACAAGGGAGGGACGTTAACATATGGCGTTTGCATATTCGCGCTTTATCGCAGTTCTCGAAAACGGAGAGCACGGGAGAGAAAGAGAGAGAGAGAGAGAGAAGCGGCAGAGATCGATTACGACCGAGAGAACGTAAAACGCGCGTGAAAACACACAATAGACACGTGGGTGGGGGAGGGGGCGAAAATAGTTTTTGCAGAAAAAGAAAACTGAGAATAATCTAACCGTCTTGCCTCGTTTTCTCTTTCTTTTTTTTTTTTTTTTTTTTCCTTATCTATGTACTCCCTAGAGCCGCCGAACGAAGGTAATGGGGTACTGACTCGATGTTACTAGTGTGAACTCCTAGCTGTTTTGCCTGTATTTGCAGATCTCATCTACAGTCATGACAATCATCCTAAGTAGATAGTAGTAGGTGGT